TGGAGTATTTGAGTTTATAAAGCTGAGTGGAATTTGTTTTTTGATATGGGTTGTGATAAAATCTTGGATAAATTCTTCAGTAGGTGATACGTTTGTATCGTGGATGATTCATGCTTTGTGGCCTTATCCATATCCATAAGGTAAAGTTTCATAGAAGGGAGTCTAGTTGTCTTTTGGTTCTTTTGTATGACGGTTCAGGAAACTATAACTTTGATTTCTATAGACTGGATAAAAAATTTCTTTCTTTTTGATTGGGCGAAAAAATTGCCTGTATATATACCATATAATTAATATTATTACTAAGAATAAATAACAAGCTTAAATATAGGTAGAATTATATACTGATTATTAACTAAAGCATTACCAACCTCTAATGTAACAATAGATAAGGCTTGAATATTATCGAGTTTCTCTTTCTGCTTATTGCAGGCATAGTCTATGGGGGGCTCCACCACATTTTTTACTTTGCTTTCATCGGGTTCAGGCTCTGAGTGGTATGAAGAAAAAGAGTGTGTTTTAGAGAAACCGGATACCTCTTCTACTGCATCGCCACCTGTTTTCGAATCATTAGATAACGAATCTGGTTTTAGAGAGATCTGTTCTAGTTCATCTTCCAGATCACTTACCCTATATTGGAGACAGAAAATTAATACATCCCTAAATGATAAATTTTGCATAACTTGCTCCAGTTCATTTTTCAATTCCTTTACCTTAATCTCATGAAGTGCCGGGTAGTATTGGTATCTTTTAATAAAGCTTTTTGTGCTGTTTGTTCTAACTCAGCCTCCAATTCATTTATTTTAGCCTCAAAAGAGGTAATTTTAAAATCTTTCAAATTAATCTCAGACTTTAGCGATTCTATTTCTTTTAACTGCTTGGCATTAAGATTAGCACGAGACTTTTGTTTGCAAGTAATTTGGTAGCCAAGCTTATTATTTAAATCATTTAGTTGTTTAGTTAGAGGGATAATTTGATTCATAGAATTTTGCATATGCTCATTTTCTTCATGCAAGTAATCTAGATCATTTTGCATACGCTCATTTTCTTCATGTGAGTGATCTAGATCATTTTGCATATGCTTATTTTTTTTATCTAAGGTATGATATTTAATTATAAGCTGTTTGGCAGATCTTATAAACATTTCACGATCTTTTTTTAGCTGTTCTTCAAGCTCTAAATGACTAGGTGGATATTGATTGGATGGAGGGCTTCCAAGTTTACTGCCACCACTATTACCTATATCATTCAAGGTATAGATTCGAGGCATAGTTTTTTTTTTATTCTAGAAATATAGATAGAAAAAATAAAAATATTTTTGAAATATATGTTTTTTTATATTTCCAAAATGATACATTTATCCTAATTACCTCCCCAAATCTTTTTCGAATTAATGTATTTATTCTAATTATTATATTAAATTATTTTCGAAATAATATATTTATTCTAATTATTCTATTAAATTATTTTCGAAATAATATATTTTTTTTTCTAAATATTAAAAAGACTACACTTATCTTATTTATTTCAAATAATATATTTTTTCTATTTATCCTATTTAATATTTTTGAAATATTTTATCTGAAAAAAAAAATACACCACCCTGATTATGGTTAGACAACGTATAAATTGTAATACGCCTTTATTTTTACCAGCTAATTATGATTTTATTATGCAACATGAAAATGAAAAGCCAAGGAAAAAGGTTTTAGAGGAATTAATACACAAATATAACACATCAATGAAACGCATATATCAGATTTGGAGAGGCGAAGAAGCTAATAGAATTGCTTGGAATTAACCAATAGCTGATATTTCTAATGTTGGATCTAAGGTTATTCACTTAAGTGAACCTGCCTCTTATGCTGTTATGCCATCCACTAAAATAGAAAGAGAAATTACTTCCTTTTCACCTAACTTATCACTAAAGAAAAATATCCAAAAAAAAAAGACAGGTAAAACAAGTATAGCCTCTACTGAAACAGATAATACTATTAACCATGCCCCTTCTAATGATAATATATCTAGGATGTGATCTGAACTTGAAAAAGTATTAAAAGAAATAGATGATCTTGGTAATTCTATTTAGTCTTTCACTACTTTTTAGCAAGTATTTTTATTGCACTTAACGCCTTACCAAGCCATTCTTCAGCTTTTATAAGATGCTCTTCAAGCTTTTTACAGTTTACGCACTTTTTTTTAAGTTCTCTTTACTAGTCAGGGTAGAGGAGTTGACAGATATTTGAGATAATGAATCTTGCTCATCTTTTGGCGGATTCTTAGCTACTAGGGCCTTGCTATATGTTGGAATAACATAGGCCTTCCTATGTAACTTTATGCAGAACTGGTTTTTATTTGGCTCGAGAACACCTTGGAGCTTTTGAATATTTGACATATCTAAAAATAATATTGGTTCAGGTTCGCCATTATCTATATGTACAAAATTTCTAATGACTGTGACTGTCTCACCTTCTTTGTCCTTCATAGTAACTAGCACATCTGTGTACCATTCTAATGAATTGGTGATATGTTTAGAATTGCCCTTTATAGCAAAATCAGATAGCTTATCAGCCTTCCATCCAAGCGTCTTAATTGCTGGGTCATTTAAACTACCAAATTCACTTCCTGGATCTAAAAAAGATTTAGAAATCGCTAAATCATTTATATTTACATTTAGATATTGTAGAGAAGAAAACCACTTATCTGATTCCTTTTTTTGAGTATTTCGGGACAAGCACATTTTACACATTGCCGATGAAAGTTTTGGCAACAGCTCATTATATGTTTCGGGCTGACTGGATTCTGTTAGTATCTGTTTTTTTTTACTGGTGAATCATATCCAGTCCATCTATTATTTTCTTCATCATAACCATCTTCTTCATTATCCAAACCTGGAGGTATGTTTTGGAAATTTATAGGTGTAAGAGGCTTAAAATAAGTAGACTGATTGAAATTAGATCATGCTATCTGTCTATTGAGACAACTACCTTTGCTATGGCCCGACTCTCTGCAAATATCACATTTTCATATATATGTCTTTCTCTGCAATTGATCGGCTAATTGGTTTATAGTATCCCGAGTTTTATTAATCTCTTCTTCCAATCTATCAATCCTAGTAGAGACATTGCTTTGCTGTGGATGAGGTCTTTGAAAAGGCTTTATAGAATAATCTGAGTCTAATTCTTTTTGGCTAAAGATACCTATATCTTTTAAGAATTTTGTTAT